CGCAGCAGATGATGTCACTGACAACATCTTGTATTAATAGATTGGGTAAGATTAATTGTTTGTAAAATTGTGTAAACTGTATTTGAAAAAACTTAAGCCCTCTCACGACCTACCCTGCGCAGATACTAACTGCGCAAGTTTGCTCTAATAGAAGGTAGAAGAAAATATGAAAACACTGTATACTAAAATTGGTGCAATAGTATAAAAGAAAATTAAAATAATGCACTTTTCTTGCCATTCCCTAATATTACCCAAAATCAAAATAAAAGAGTCATAGTTGTTATTATCAATAAATGATAATAGAATATACTTGCTTTAAATGATATTCTAGAAATTATGAACTCTTCTTTTTACAAAAAAAAAACTATTATTAATAGTATTATATAAATAAAACACATCTATAATTGTAATTTACTTTTATTATATAATTTAACAAATATATTTAACCAGAATTTTATATCTGAAAATTTCGAAAATCAAAATATACACATAACTTACCACAAAAGTAACAATCGATAATAGCAATTAACTTCTAAATTACTTTCAGTCTTCTTGCAGAAGACAATTATTTTCCACCACGTTCAACATCCAGTTAACATTGGAGTCAGTCTTCCATCAACTATTTTTTGAATTATTGGTTTAATACCATCACCGAGGCTCTGGTGATGCATCCTTGACATCAATCGACAAAGTCCTTTTACTAAATCCATCATCGTTTTCTTTTATGGCTAGATAACGGTACCTGATAGTTTTCTTCTAAATATCTCTTTGGTTTTTTAATTGAAGACCTCGTCTTTCTTTTTGACTTATTTTCAATTAATTCTTTGCTCTTCTCGCACGTCGTTAATCCAATACTTGCCAGAAAACTTACCTTATCAACAGCAACTATTTTGGACGGTTGTTCTTTATTCTCTTCAGCAAAACTATTCTTATAATTCTCCATTTCGACTTCCATTTCGGCTATCTCTTTCTTCGTTTCTGCGATCCTCTTGGCAATCTGCTTTTTCTCCTTCGGCGTTACACAGAGCTTCTGTTCTTGCAAAAGTTCATTTAGTAATTGTACTTCCTCAGTAACATGATCTTCATTGGGAATGACAATTGTTGCGAAACTCGCAGCAGATGATTTCACTGACAACATCTTGTATTGATGGACTGGGTAATTGTGTGAACTGTTTTTGAAAAACTTAAGCTCTTTTGACATCCCACCCTGCGCAGATACTAACTGCGCAAGTTTGCTCTGGTACAAAAGTATGAAAGAAAATTCAAATAATTAAAGAAATAAACATTGTTATAATTTTATATTATAGTATTATTAAAGTCTTCAAATTTTACAATATTTTACACAGTAGCTCATTTTAGTTAATTAAGTTTGTGATGCACTTGATGAATATATACAACTATCATTTCATTTTTTCAAAACGTTTTCAACACTGTATTTGTCATTACACAAGTTTAAAGCTGCAGCTCTGTAGGTGCTATCATATATTATTAGAGCCATTCAATACTGATCTCTGCTGTTAAACAATATCGACCAATCTTTGTTCACTACATAATGGTTCAGCAGATAACGCATTGCCATATTAATAGGAAGTACTCAGCTTGGTAGATTGTGTAAAAATATTATAATAAAATATTTTCTTTCTACTCTCTTCCTGGTGTCTGCTTTCAAAATATAAGCGAAAAATAGTCTGCTGTTAATTGCCCTATTCGATAACTCCGGGTGGCCGCTAGTGATTGATCAACTGATCTGAATGAAATACCCAAACAATCTAATTATTCTAACGAGATAGTTATTTTCGAGGAACCAGGGATTTAATTGGAAAGTTCTCTACAACACCATATTCGATGCTCCTCTTCCACCCGGATGCCGCATCGTTGCCTACGCGGACGACACAATTCTATTAGTTTCTGCAAACAATTACACGATGGTACAAACTGGCACAAACGATACGCTGAAAGCATTGAGCAGCTGCACAAAGTCTGCCAAGTCCGCTGAAGATTCGGTGCGCTTGGAACGAAAGGATGGAGATGCGACTGTACCGGAGTCAGTCGGCGATGCTATACACGGGAATAATGGAGCCGAGCCTTCTGTATGACGCAGCCATCTGACAGGATCGGTGCCGGGCGAGGGAAAGGCAGAGGCTACTTGGCGCACAAAGGATATGGCCCTTGAAGGCTACAGAACTGTGCCCACGGAAGCGCGGCTGGTATTAGCCGCACTTCTCCCGGTAGACATCCGCACAGCGTGGATGGTCAAGAACACTAAGCGAGGAGGAGTCCATTGCGATTTCGGGTCACATCATCAAAAAGACTGAGATCGAATCGACGATATTCACCCAGTAGATTCGATTGGAGGACAAGAGCTATTCGATCTTGTCTGATAGCAGAGCAGCTTTGGAGGCACTCCGACGTACCGAGGTTCTCACGGAGGACACAATCCAGCATTGCTCCGCTGCCCTTTGCACACCACCTGGAGAAACAGCGTAGAGAGGCGAATGACTCTACAACGCCTACCATGGCCACATAGCGAAGAAGATGTCTTCGAAATCTGTATTGTGGTGTTTGGTCGGGAAACCAAATGCCTCGAGAAACTTGAGCACGACGTGTAATACAGGAGCCGCCAGCACTACACCATTACAAAGGATGTAATATTTATATTTATTTTTTTTTAATTTTATCATTATTACCAGTATTAATTCATTTATTTTTCATGTTATTCTTTTTTTACTTTCTTTTCATTCCGTATATCTTTATTATATTTTTCTTACATACTTTATTTTCTAATTATTATTTTGCTATGCTTTTGAAGCCAAATAAATAAGTTGTTAGTCTATATCGACCTATAATATAATATCATTTAATAAATTTATTTAACCGGAATTTTATTTCCGAAAATTTCGAAAATCAATATATGCACATAACCTACCACAAAAGTAACAATCGATAATAGCAAGTAGCTAAATTACTTTCAGTTAGACACTTATTCTTTTGGCTTATCTTGCTGAAGACAATTATTTTCCACCACGTTCAATCTTTTCACTTGAAGCCCTTTCACGACCTTTCACGACCCTCCCTGCGCAACTTTGCTCTAATACAACGGTAGAAAAAATATGAAAACACTGTATACTAAAATTGGTGCAATAGTATAAAAGAAAATTCAAATAATTAAAGAAATAAACATTGTCATAATTTACAATAGTATTATTAAAGTCTTTAAATTAACAATAAAGTGGTAGCTAGGATTGCGAGTAACTTGCGCTCCGATGTGATCCACTTGATAAAAACATTTTATTTATCTACCACAAGTTTACCACCACAGTTCACCTTCAATTGCATTTTTTATTTATATCTCGTACAAAAGTGTTTTATTCGCAGCCACAAACAGATCTACTTGATTGTCTAAACTTTTTTTATATTCCCCAAATTGTTCGTGGCCAGTAAACAGTTGACATGGCAATGTGTTCTTTGTCCATTTTGTAATGCACTTTTCTTGTCTTTCTCTAATATTATCCACCTTAATTTTATCAAACCAACTATCGTTTTATTTTTCATTATTAATTCAGAACGTTTTCCAAATTGTGATAATACTTTTAATGCAGCAACAGTTGTTTCATCACTGAATTTAGCCATTAAATAAATTTGAAGCTGTAGCTCTGTGGGTGCTATCATATATTATTAGAGCCATTGAATGCAGCAGATGTCAATCTGCTATTAGACAATATCGACCAATCCTTGTTCACGACATAATAGTTCAGCAGATATCCCATTGCCTTATTGATTGGTAGAATTGTGAAATAATATTATAATCTTATATTTTCTTTCTACTCTCTTCTTTCTCACTGCTTTCAAAATAGAAGCGAAAAATAGTTCAGCGACCCCGTTTTATTTCTTGTTCATTCTCGTATTCCTCCTTAGAATTCAGAATTTGATTGTCTGCTGGATGGATTGATAGTTTTATAGCGTGTACAAATTGCTTTCATTCTCAAGTTGACAGTTAAAATTTCTGAAATAACCAAGATCCTCAAGACGAAAATTCGTTGTGTACTGAGATCTTCGTTTCTTTGACTTCATATCTAACCTGACAAATAGGTAATGCATATAGCAGGCTTTGTTCAAATACACCTTTGTACAACATCTCGTGCACCTTACTTCTAAAGCTAATTTCAGACTTCAATCTATAGTTCAATTATCACCACACACTTAAACCTTTAGTTAAATTATCGCCGCACATTTAAATTTATAGTTAAATTACCGCCGTACACTTAAAGCTATAGTTCAATTTCCGCAGCACACTTAAGCACTTATTATGCTTTGTATTTTATTAGAAAATAATTGAATAAATTGTTATAAACGACACACCGGTTGAATATGACTAGCCTATTTCCGGATAGTAAGCGCTTCAAAAGTAACAGCAACTACTTTATTATATACTTATATCCATACTTTTATAAGATAGACGGCAAGCGTGAACTAAGTTAATTTAATAGTTATAATAAAGTCTGCAGTTGGCCTATTGTTTATTATTATACAATCAATTAATTGTTGTTTGCTTTTGTTTACAAATTTATGATATATCGAAATATATAATCTGTATTCATAAGAATCTAAGTCGAATATTTGTTCAAGAAATATTGATTTTGAAAATAAAATATAATGAAATACCAGTAATGAGGAATGAATATGTATGTATTTGGATTTTATTGCTTCTTTGAGGCGTTAATGATAAAAGTTTGTTTTCCTATAAGTACAAAAATAATTTCATTGAAGTTATTTATAGTTGAAAAAAAGCTTTTCACCTTATATTTACAGCTGTTTTTTCGGATAACTTCGGCGTGGCCGTCACAATTCTTGCCACGTGTTAATAATGCTTTATTCGTTTTGTTCTGCATTTATTACGGCCGATTTCTGATAAATTGCCTATAGAAATAATGAAGCCCCTGGAGTTTGCCGAGCCCTATAAATTCGCTCCGTCGTTGCGACCGCTCGGATTCAAACGCAAACAACACTCGCGACGAACCAACCAATCCTATAAAACAATTATGGTGATTATAATAAAATAACAATTCGTACGGTATTAATTGAAATTATTTTCAGCAAACGATTCTTCGTTCTATGCTGCTGATCATGTGGCTGAGCGCCTACGCAGTCGAAGCCACGATCCCAGTGTGCCTTACGTAAGTTAACAAAAGATATTTATATATACAGTAAAACAAATAGAACACAAACGTCAGACCAATAGAAATGTCAAAGGCGAAGGGTTGCGAAAGTAAGTGCAAATCGCAGGACGCGAATCATGCCAAAGCGATGGCAAACAACAAACTTCGACCGGACGCGCCTGCCTTCGTACCATTGGAGAACATCCTCAACAGCATTCTAATGGCGCAACCCCGGGTCAAGGAGCCCCAGTGCTCGAGGTATTCGAGGAAATCGGTGAGACGCGACGACGATGAGGAGAATAACAGTCCGAGGCCCATTCTCGGCAGCAAGACTACCACACCCAGACCAATATTGGGCCGCAAGGAGACGCTGTTCCCGGCAGCATCCTCCAAATCGGGTCATCATCAAAACGGCGGAGCCGGCGAAGAGTTCCTTGGTCGCGAGTTTCGGTCCATATCCAGGCGAATGCAGCGCATGAAGATCGCCGAAGAAAACAAGAAAAGCGGATCGGCCGCCAGCAAAAAGAAAAACAAATCTTGAACGCTCCCCGAATTCTCATAATGTTACTAATAACAATTTACTCCCAATAACAATTAAATTTGATTACCTGTTGTTCCTTTCATTTGTTATCAGCTTCGCGCACATTATTCTCGTTCAACAGACAATCATCAACTGTTCGCTCGATTGTTTCTAATTAATAGTGCGAAATGCATCCGACAGGGAGCAGAATTCAAACAAAAGCCCGGCGCATCCACCGTTACAATATATATTTATATGAATATCTTGTCTACTATTTATAACTACTTATAAACATTATGTATGATTAAACATGCCGTCTTCGTGTTGCAGGAATTGCGTGCAGTGCAAGCAAATGTTCGGCCGTTACTTTCAAGGCCGAGCGTGCGGTGAGGCCTGTATCTCATCCAACGGCCGCGACATGCCGGACTGCAACAATCCCGGTACTCTGGGGAATTATCTGAAGCGATTGTACTGATCGCATCAATTTCCTTCTTCACTTCATCTATAGTGTAGTATAAAATAAAGGAATGTAATAGAAGCCATACATTTATTTATCAAAATCACACAATCCCTGTGTCGCTAACAAGATTATGCCATTATATCTCTTGCACCGATTTGCTTCTAGTGATATATTCTGTAACAAATTATTTCCCAGTAAATCATATAATTCTAAAAATATTTATATATATTCAAAGTAGACTCATTTTGTATTATAATACAAAAATAAATTATTCGAAGTACTGCCTGTGTTCATTATATTGTAAAACTACAATCGAGCACTGGAATTTATGCAGATAATATGTCTACTCGATTTGTATAATGCAAAGACTAAAAAGAGATGGCGACCGACCATTCTATTTAAAAAAGTGAATGCGATCTACCTGCTCTATTAAAATCAGAGAGTCGAACCAGAACCGAACCGAAACTAACCGAAATTAACCAGAAATTAACCGTAACTGCAACCAGAACGTAAAATTGCTCAATTGAAAAAAACAAAAATGAAACTGGAACTACTCTTTCATGGTAGTGTGCCGATGCTAGTGGTTTGGTTTATTTATATAGTCATTCGAAAACAAATAATTTTTCGACATTGTGTTGGTAGGTCTATTGTTAATAGAGTATATAAATAAATAATGTATAAGAGACTTCGATGAAGTCTCTTTGAATACTCCGAATTATTTTTCAAATAAACAAATACATATAAACAAAACCATCAAAGCCGAATTCCGTAGGAACGCTTAATCATCAATAGAAATAAGCCCGTTTTCATTACACCAAATATGAAGAACTTCAAAAACAAAAATCTCTCAAACAAACACCGGCTAATAAGAGAAAAATTGAAGAAGAAATTTCATTTGAAATTAAATTGATTAAAAATGATTTATTTTATTTCTACCCGATTAGCAGCCACCACAAATTTTTGTTGATTTTTCGGAATTGAACCAACGACCTTTCGTATCAGATTTTCGTGATACAGGAGACCATTAAAAAGGATATTACTGAAATATTATTTTTAATTGAAAACAATAGTAAGAAGGGAATTTGATAAATAAAATTATACCAAAATTTGAGATTTGACTCGATTTTAATTTAAACCGGAATCGAACATTTACTACGAAATTTTTAGACGAACCGAAACCAAATCTGGAACGAACATTTACTTGGAACGTAACCGTAACGAACCAGAACGAAATTAATTTCGGTTCGACTCTGATTAAAATGAAGTTTTTTTTGTCGTAATTTAATAGTGGCACATTAGAAATATATTTAGTTTTTTCAATTGCTTAATATTCGGAAAATATTTATAATCTTTCTTCTAAATGCCCCCACAAAAAGACATGGCCAATTCATTAAACATGTTTGTCGAAAATATCTTCCTTCGAAAAATATACCTTAAAAGCTTAAATGTTGGGAGAGTAGTAGCATCATCATTGCTAGTTGTCTGACTCAAAAATAACAAGATTAAACACTGCGTGAGAATCAATTATTTTAGAATTTTGTATAAAAATTTCAATTATTTAACAGGTGCAAATTTTCTCCATATTGAATATTCAAGAATTACACTGATTGAAAAAAATTAAATTAATGACTGTTAGCCCAAGACAGTAGTTAACTTTTATTATTATTGTATGGAAAATGTTTAATCTTATTACAATAAACATTATTATTAATTAACTGTAATAATTTATTCGAATTTTAAATGGTTTAGTGACTTTTAGTCCTTTATAAGTTAGTGTTCTTCAATCTTTTTTCTAGTGTCTGGAGAAAATCTTCCACGGCGCACTTAAATCATATTGATATATTTAAGTTGTTATACACTTACAGTGCTTCGACCTTCTTTGGAAAATAATTCAATTACAATTTTTCCCAGCACACCTGTTGAAAATCATTATAATCTTGATGACGAATGGGTGTATAAACTTTGAATATTTTTTAAGATAAATTGAATCTAGTCCTATAAACCAGCGGTTGCCAAAGTGGTGGTCCGCAGAAAAATGTGGAATATACTTACTCATCATGTTAAGTTATCCTATTAGTGGTCCGCGGGATTTAAATTATGAATTAACTGGTCCGTGAGGTCAAAAAGTTTGGCGACCGCTGCTATAAACTATTATATAAATGATTTTAGTATGATTTCTTATTATTTGATTTTCACATTCATTGTCATACATTTAATGCTCTTTTTTATCATGAATTTAAGTAGATCAACTTAATAAATAGTATTGATTGAAAAGAAAATAAATTAATAATTATTTATTTAACTACAAGTAATAAATTGTATACACAATTTAGAAGTAAAACCATTGAAACAGAGTGAGAGGAACAAGAAAAACAGAAACTCAATATTTTGATAATAGTAATGAACCATCTTTAAAATTAATCATATGTATATAAAAAAAGAAAAAAAGTCAAACATAATAAAAACGAAGGGATCATTTGTGGTGGTGCTTTTTGCGTCTGTGCTCTCTGTCCTTGCTTGACTGCCTATCCCTGTGCCTTTCCTTATGTGGACTGCGATCCCTATGTCTCCTATTCTTCTCTTCCTCGCGCTGTCTATCCCTGTCATCTCTGCTATACCTATCCTTTCTATCGTAATCATCCCTGAACCTGTCTTTGCGATCATAATCATCCTTGTACCGATCCTTACGCTCGTAAGGAAGCGCATCAATCCTTTCATCTCTATACCTTTCCTTTCTATCTGAATCATCCCTGTCATATCTATCCTTGCGTTCATTCTCCTCCCTGTCGTTCCTATCTTTGCGGTCATTCTCCTCCCTGTCGTACCTATCCTTACGATCGTTATCCTCCCTGTCATACCTATTCTTGCGCTCGTTATCCTCATTTTTTTCAAACCTATCTTCCCTGATTTTATCACGTCTATTATCTTTATTATCCCTCTGGTTTTGTTTGAAATTTTTCTCTCTGTCAAATCCTTCCCGAGACTCGCGATCTCTCTGATTTGCTACTTGGACGGCTTGCATTGGAAACCTCTCCTCCAACACTTTCTGAATCTTTTGCTGAATTGGAACCGGTATTCTCGGGAAGAGAGTTGAAAACCATTCCAGTTTAACTAACCACTGTCTCAGGATCATTCCCATCTTCATCATCTGTCCACCACCTGCTTTAACGTCGACTTCCTAATAAATAAAAAAAACCAATAAGAAACACATTAAAAACTTTTGAAAAACACTCAATACGACTGGATGCGATTTATCTGAGAAGATAGAAAACTTTCAGCACTCTACCTGCTATTACGCACCTCTTCATCATCAAGGTATGGCTCATACCAATCGAGTAGACTGGCAGGTGGAAACACATATCTTATATACATAAATCCCAACGCTCGAATGTAGGGTGAATCACAGTGGGTAATCAATCCATTCAGCTGTTTCCTAGTCAGCTTCAGTGTGAATAACTTGTATAACAAACAATAGGCAGTGGAAACGATGCCTCCGGCTCCGACGCCCCTAACGCCACCGCACATCCCCGTCTGTCCGGAGGTTCTTCTGGACCCTTTCTCCCATGGCTCTAAATGAGCCACTTTGTAGTAAATTTCATCGACGACTTCATGGTAGGTTTTCAGCTCATACAAATTAACTAAAACATAAAACATCAGATATGAGTCTCACTGATGACACTAATGAATTTCCATTGCATTTAATTATTATTAACTGATTAAATGAGTAAAACAAGAAAAGACTTTAAATGCAATTCTCTGACTGCTGGCAGTCAGCAACATTATTCTGCAAACTGTGTTGCAAAATAATTTGTTTACCGTTAGTACAAGTCCCATCAAGGTCTCCAAAAAATTGGATGGAATAATAATAGCACACGAAAACCAATGATCGTATAACCACACCATCCAATCCTCATTCTGTACACAACCCTAAAATATTAAACTGCATTAAAATTACAAATGTTAGATAACACCAAATTGCAAACACTTTTACCTACAATTTAGAAAAACAACATGTAACTTTGCCGAAAACATCTGAAACTCACTCACAGAAAACTATAGCATTATTTTGAAAGACAGTATGCAGAATCTTACGAATATGTGTACTTGTGTGTGTATAATTAATATATATATATATATCTATAACCAAATTGGAAGGAATACATACCCTTGAAATAATGTGAGCTCTGTATGTTGGTTAGTATCAACTGGTTTAAGTTCATGGTCCTTTCATTGCCCCACAGTGGTAGCACATTACTTGCTTTTGAACTTGGTTTGTTGCACACCTCTGAAAGAAATCAAATTTCATTATAATGGTATTCGACACAAACATCACGAATTTACCTTCATCGTTGTTCTGGTATTGATGGTCCATCCTACCCAAAAAAAAGGAACGATGAATATACTTTAAAAAATATTTCTCGTAGTTGCTTCGAAGAGCAAAACCATTCACTTAAGCGTCATTTAATAAACTGGCAGAATCAGAATGACAATCAGCTTGTGCAAATTGAAAAAAGAGAAAGTCCCTGATCTAAAAAAAAGGGAGAGAGAGGCATTTTCATTGGCAAAAACATGTATTTCCTTAAGTTAGAAAACCTAATAAATATTATAGTTTATTTATATTATATAATAGTCAGTAAATATAATAAATTAACTTTCTTTACTAAATTAAAAATAGGAATTATTTTTTTTCAGAACATTTGAACTACCGAAAGAAGTTCAATTCGAGCATAGGCAACTTCAGTTCATCAATTTATTTACTTTTCCCTTTTTTATTAGTAAATATTGTACATAAATATAGTGAATTAGATTTTTTGAATGAGAGAATAATGAGTGTGATTGACTGTAAAGAGTTGTTGGATACATTGAATGATGCTGAAACTTATGTGGAATCTCTACGGGCGTTGGGCAGGGAGCTGAAATCTGCACAGGTGCAAATAGTTAAGAGTTCAGAAGATGCAATCAAAGAAATTGAATACAATTTCAATAATCTTCAGGTTAAAATGCAGAAAGTTTTAGAAAATAGGAAGAACCATTTAATAAATGAAACAATAAAAGTATGTTAATTTCTAAGTAGGACAAATGTGAGTATTTATGGTATTTGTTGTAGATTCGGGCACAGAGTTTGGAGCCACTGAGGTGCTCTGACATTGTTATCTCTGATAAATTAAAGGAGACCACTAATTTTATTGAGTTGGGTAAGAATGTGGACCAACTGAATCTCGATGAATTTAGTAGAAAGTCTAGTTTACTTGGAAGTCTTCCTCAAGTGCCTGAATTGAAAGAGGTTTCCTGCATAACTTTTCAATTTGATGCTGGAGTTGAACAGGAGATTATTGATAGTTGCTCAAGTTTAGGTTCAGTTACTCGAATTGCTCCAGTCCAAGTACAGCAACAAAATATAATTTGTTTTATCACATTTATTAACATACTTTTTGCAGATCAATTCTTTAAGTGAGAAACCTGGTGCTATATTGGTGGAGTGGGAGATCTTGGATTCTGACGAACCCTACAGTGAAATACAAGAATATAAATTACAGAAGGCTTTGGGGAATGGACACAAAGATAATTCAATTATCTTTTATGATTGTTATCAAGGTAATTTTATAGTTTATCGAAATTTAATGTGAAATCAATGTTGAGTTTTCGTTTAGGTTCAGAACTGCAATATTTGGTACAAGATTTGAAAGCAAATCAGGAGTTTTCATTTAGAATCTGCTGCAAATTTGAAGGGTGTTTACACTATAGTCCATGGTCTATTGTGCAAGTGGGCAGTACTTGCATTAAACCTTATAGTTGGAAGGAAACTGCTAACTTTTGCTTAGCAAATGAGGGTAAGATTAGTGCTTCAGTGAGCAACGAAGATTCGTTGATTTTATCGGATGGAGCACAATTTTGCTGTGGAAACTCGCTGGATTTTACTGTAAAATGTCTGCTAATTAGTACAAATTTTTGTTAACTAGATTTTGTTGCAGATGCTAAATGTTGGTGAACAACTGAAGAATAATTTCATTGGTGTTGCTTTCATACAAGATGGTTTAGATTTGGATAAGAGCAAGGATGGAACTTTCCTTTTGGAAGCGACTGGCGAGATTTACATTGATGGATCTCTGAAGTCCACTAAGTTGCCTCCACTGTATAATGGTTGCAAGGTATGGTAGCTTTTGCAAAAGAAGTAATATTTTATTACTAAAACTGCTAATGTTTCAGGTGACTTTTATGTGCGTGCCGGTAAGCGACGATAAAGTCAGAATCAACATAGACGTGTGCAATAAGCGTGTTACCTATGATTGGTGCATTGAAAAATGCAGTGCCATGCATTTCTTAGCCAAATTTTCTGCAGCGAAATGGAAGGTTATGGTTGAATGATATATATGTGCAGTTATATATTCCATGCACATCCACAATTGGAATCTCAATTAAGTGTAATATTTTGTTCTGGGTCATGGCTAGAGGCTCCATTTATTTAGTTGTATTAAGCCAAATATTGTAGAGTTTGATGTTTAAGTTTCTATAGTATATTTATTGAAAATGGAACGTATTAAGCTTTTTATTCATTTTATATTATTGAGATTATATTTAAAAGTATTTTTATATATTATTGTTTAGACCTTAATGATTAATAAATGACTGTTAAAACTATGAGTATTTAGCCTACAATGCTGCTGGCACCCCTCAGTGCCAGATATCCAGCTGTGATGTCCATTGGAAGGGTTAACAGTGTTGAATATTCCTCTTTGTTGGCGAAGCGGAGGCGCGTTTGTGGGTCCGTGTAAGGGGCTGGTAGGCCTGAGAGATCCGAGAATTTTTCTGCTGGAAGGAATGAGGGAGGCGCATTTATACTGCTGTAGTGAATGTGATCCTCCGGCCACGGCAACGACCTCTCTGTAGAGATAATTTGCTTCAGTGACTTCCAAGCCCTCTTCTTGTTTGCTGGTTTATTCGCATTTATAAAGCTCGAGCACTTAAACACTGGACGAGATTCAACTTTACTCTCTTCGGAATTCATCTTAAACAAAGTGTTAGTAAACAGACGTGAAGTTAGTCGAACTTAACCTACAAATTGCAGCGAAGAAAATTTTGTAAAATATTTAAAAAGTTAGTTTTACTTGTTGGTTTATAAAGCGAAATACTATGACGACAGTGGATTTAACTGAAGAGTTGAAGGAGTTTAGGAATAGTGTTTTGAAGCGCATGGAGAAGGTTGATGAGTACATCAACAAAGTGGATTTGGAGTTTATGCAGCTAGCCTTTTTAGCTTCGAAGGAAAGCAACAAAGATGAGCCACAGAAAGAAGAGGAGAAGTTCCAGGAAAACCCAGATGTTGTTAACAGCCAAATGTTAGATTTATTGTTTAAAAGTGAGAAGATTGATTATGATTATGAAGAAGAGGAAGATGATGAAGACAGTGAAACAGAAGAAAAATAATTACAAATTGTTTTTAATTAATTAATGTTATTAATTATTCTACAAATTAGATACATTAACGTTTATTGAAAAAAAGTAGATTTATATAGGTATATATGGTTGCATAAAGTTACATATGCTAGGTAATCCAGTGCCACCAAAACAGTTTTTGAAGGCGCTTCAAAGAATTGTTTTGTTTACAATATTTTTATAAGTACAAAATTAGTGTATTATAAACTGTATTATTAACATAAGTAACATAAATATATATTTTTTTTATAAATAATAAATGCTATAAAAACAATAAAATATTTTTATTACCCATTATATTTTGTTTTGGTTCAAAAAAATATTTATTTTTATTTATTCTGCCACAAATTGGTTTTTATAGACTTTTCTACTTTGGTACCGTTGAGACTCAAGTTGCGGACCTTTGTGTCATATTTACATAACACATGCGATGACGAACAAAAAGCTAATCAAATAGCCAAGAAAATATATTTGATAACGTATACAAGTACTTGTAGCATGTACAATGATATTGTTGCTTTTATCTTGATTTATTAGGACACCTATTTTTCAGCAAAAAAATATGGCTTGTATTGGATGTACTTGTACAAGTTATTTTGCAAGTGTAGCATAGGTTTACATACTTATATAACAAATATTTTCCACAAGCAAATATAAATTATTTATTGCAAGTTATATGGAGAGATAAATAAAATAAATTACCAGAACATAATTAATTAACAATGCGTTAATTAATTGACTATTCTCGCTAACAGTAAATTGAAAAATTACTTCACCGTACGCTTATGAAGCGGAAATTAAAGTTTATCGACCAATTAAATAGATTTAACAGACTTTTATGCACCGGACATAAGAATGACATAAATAAGACCAATTATTAGATTTATAAATAATCAACATTATTTATCATCAAAATTACTAAATTCTTTAGATTTTTCAGTATATTTTTGTTGAAATTAAGTACAGTCTTCTATTAGACCAACTTATTCTTAAAATTGACTTTTTTCTTAAACAATGATGGCTGTAAAATTACTAATATTTCAAACAATGACATAATCAAGTTTGTTAAATATCGAAATGGAAATTAAGAATAATAAAGTTATTTTCAATTATTTGTGAACGACAATTGGACAATTTTATACATATTAGTATTGTTTGTAGTTTGCATAATTAACTGACGATTTTTTTAGAAATCAAGTTGATAAACATAGAAATCTTTAAATACTTTTAAGTTATATATTTTAACAAATTATGTAAAGGAATATTGTTGTTTTTTTTTATATTTTAATATATGTCTTCAACGTACATTGATATTTATCTTAAAAATATCCCAAAATAGTATACCAAAGTGTTATACTATATAACACGATTAATTGGTACCGAGTAATACGTGTTATAATAGAATTAGTACATATGAGATTAATTCGTTTCGCGTTATATGAAAACCGCGTTATAAGTAGCTCAGAATTTATAAAAATTAAATTACTTTTAATTCTTTAACCATGTCCATAATTCAAAATGAAATTGTTAATCAATTCTTTATGTATTCGAGGTAGGTGAATCAATTAATGCCATCAATTGCTCTTCATCAAAACTTTAAATTCTTTCCGAACTATTACATACTTTTTTATTTATAATTCTAAGTATCTCCACTTCGTCGATTTAAGTTGAATAATTTATATATTTAAATAGAAGTAATCAATAATAAATTAACGTAAATTGGTATTACTTCGTAATTCATTCAATAATAATGTGACATCAACTAAATATATAATTTAAACTAAATTATAAATTTGTTCTATTTGTCGAGTCTGTTATCCAATAACATAGCTATTGCATTTGGATAATTGAATTAATTCAATATTTTAGACATTCCCAATTATTTAGTGATATAATTAATTAGATATATTAATTGATTCCATTTATTATTATTGTTGACGTAGATTGTAGATTCTAGACTTGCTCTGATAACAGCTATTTTTCTGAGTTTTGTTTAGAATATATTTAAATTTTAAAAGTCTTATATTTACAATGGGAATCTTAAATTTGAATTATTGAATTACTCCTTAAAAAGCAAAGTTTTTCTTAGATTTTATGATTTTGTTTCATTGGAATTTTAGCAAATTTTTATTGTTGTTCGGAATGTAATAAAAATCTAATTATAATGAAAACAATTTATTACAAAAAAAATATTTAATTTACAATTGTAATAAAAAAGAAAATAATCTGGTGATAACCAGAGGGAACAATATAAATTGATGCAAAAGCGTGTTGGAAATAGATAAAAAGAAAATAATAATTACTAGAAATATATTTTCCAAAACTACAATTATTGGGCTAGTTATACAAATATAGGTGGCATGGCCTAATACAGTAAGACCTTGTTTAGCGCTGCCTTCATTAACGCTGATTTGCTATAACGTTGGAGACCTTAAAAAAGCTCAAAATTTACCCGGATTCGAATTATTGCCGCATTTCATTGTTTCGTATAAAATACGATTATTCCCGAACACGTAGTGCTGTGCTTCCCCAGAATATTTGCTTGATTGAGATGTAGATGAGTAGGATATTAAGGAGTTACTGCATGTTTCTGGCGAGGATCTTACCAACTATGACCTTCAAGTACTGGCAGAACAAGGAATTGAAGTAGATTTTGAACTTTAAGAACTTGCTGAGAAAAAGTTTATAAACGATATCTGAATTCGCTGATCAAATTGTAGCGAATGATCCAAACTTTGACAGGAGTGCAAAAGCAAAAAGGAGTTTTGGGTGCGATCACCTGCTACCAATATTTGCTTAATGAAATAAAATGAAAGCACCAAATGACTAGAAGATTATATCGCCAAAAAAAATCAAAAATATCAGAAGAGCCAGGACATTCATCACCAAAATAAATTTAATATTTCTGTGTCCAAATGTTTGTGTTATATAAAACATATATAATAATGCAAATTACTATAAATACAGCTTAAAATTAAAGTAAAATTTGTTTATTTTTGGTCGGGTGTTCCTTTTTCAATATTTGCTATGTGTTAAAATTACCTCCTATAACGCTGTTTCGTTTAGCGCTCTGTCTTCAGGAACTCATGTAATGCGCTAAACGAGGTCTTAATGTATTTAAGTTACCAGTGCAGTTATTTTTACATTTTATTTTGATAGAACAAAATTTATTAGCAAAATTAGAGAAAGCTTTAAGATATTAACATTTGTATGTTTTTATTAACTACTAAATACACGTTATAGGTAAAATCTCGCAGTGCCGGAAGCATTTATACCATTTGTTAAAGAGCAACAAAAAAAAAACTCCGAATGTTTATTAGTATTGACGGATCATTATAATTTTTCATTGTGTTGAACATATTTGCACAAGCTAAGTAAAGAAGAATGCCTATTGGGTTTAGTATTAGATTACTGTGTTCTTCAGTTAACTAGCATTGTTGAAGCTAGTATATTACTATATAATTTACTGAAGGAAGAACCGATAGGCAATGAAGAATTCTCGTGGAGAAAGACGGCTAGAAAATGTGCAGTAAAAACGAAAAGAAAGAAGTGCGCGTATCGTACAAAGACGACCTTCGACCTCAGCATCACCGGAGCCAAAGCTTACGGCCGTGCAATAAATAATAAGTTCTGTGCTCACTCGCTAATGCATTTTAGTGCCCGTTTTATGGCGCATTAAATACGACAGCGCCGAAAAATTCCTCGGACTCCAAAAATTTTTTTTCGGCCTGCTTCTAGATCCGTGACCTCCTCGCCGAAGAACCAAGAGGATGGATGCTGCCTACATCTGGACACATTTCGCAATACTCCGAATATATTTCTATGGCAACGAAACGACCTACTTAATGCAAATCCCTTTCGATAATTGTGCGAAAGGGCTCCAAGTGGCAGAAGTCACAAAAGAGGTCCCTCTAATCCCCACAGAAAAAAAATAATAATGTGGATCCCATCCAGGTGTCGTGAATGGAGGCCTAATGCCCCGCATCGAAGCTACCTCACGACGTCCCGCAATAATATTCCGACCCATTCAATCGTCACGGAGGATACACGTCTGCTCCTTTTTTTATTATTATTATGATCATCGCTAGCGCTGCTAACGTTCTCATTATTATTTGTGTGACAAAATCCTTCAGAGGGGAAGCTGAGGCCATTTGTCAAACCGCGCCGAATTCCGTCCGCGCCATTTCACTTCCGCACGAAGGACGGATGGACGGAATCTCATGCAACCGAATGGGTTTCGCATTGAATTTCCAAAGCCGTCCGAAACGTTCGTTTTCTGTTTTTTTTGAAATTAATTATGTAATAGTTGGATAAATATTAGGGTTGATACATCTGCAGCAGCAGCAAACCAGAAGTTATTTCCTGTTGGTGGATATCGTTGCAAGAAATTGCGCGTTCCGCATGATCCCATCTGATTGTCGAGTACCTTGACCGATGATAATTACTTCTAAGCGAGACGTATATATTAATAATATCTATTGCAAATGTCTGTAACCAACTCTCATTACGAATTCTCTTATTTTATCTAACAATGACGTATCTACAATCGCTCATTCCATTTAACTGTACATAAAGTTTAAACACAATTAA